TGGTAGTGCAGTAGGTGTGGACATCACTGGAAGCTGTAGTCAAAAGCCTGCACGTAGGCAGTCCAGGACACAGGGTCGTTTACAAATGATGAGGCAGCAGGGGAGTTGCACTCAGTGAGACTCGCTTAGCTGACAAGGGTCAACTATCTGAAGTGGGCACGAGATATACGTTTTACTGGAGTGGTTGTAACACCGATGAACGGTGCGAAGCAGGAGTAGGCTTTGCTATCCGATCTGATCTGGCTCGTACTTTACCACACATGCCCGAAGGTATCAATGACCGTCTGATGACGCTGCGACTACCGTTAACGAACAATAAGAACATGACGCTCGTAAGTGCCTATGCTCCAACGATGACTAATCAAGACGAAACAATAGACATGTTTTACGAAGACCTCGAGTCTGTCATCACTTCCGTTCCAAGGTACAATAAGCTAGTCATTCTTGGTGACTTCAACGCACGTGTAGGCTCAGATCATGTGACCTGGGAGGGTGTGGTTGGGAAGCATGGTATTGGAACGTGCAACAGCAACGGCCTACTGCTACTCCAAACGTGCACCGTCCATGACTTGACCATCACGAATACTCTCTTTCGCTTGCCCACTCGCAACAGGACATCCTGGATGCACCCGCGTTCAAAACATTGGCACCTGATTGACTATGTCATTACTCGAAAGAATGATGCACGACGGAGAAAACCTCAAGGTCAAAAAATGTTAAGGAGATTGAATGTTGCCCGGCTGAAGATTCCTGAAGTTGCTGAGGTGTTTCGGAAGGAACTGGAATATACCATCACGAATGCCATTGCAGATGCTGATGCTGATCCCGAAGAGCAGTGGACGAAGCTCCAAGAAGTTCTCCGTGCTACTGCTTCACAGCACCTTGGACCACTCAAACGCAAGCACCAGGATTGGTTTGACGATAGTGACAAAAAGATCCAGGATCTGCTAACCGAGAAGCATCAGGCCTTTATGGTTTACCAGAATGATCCTGCTTTGGAGTCCAAGAAAGCGGCTTTTGCAAATGCCAAGGGGAAGGTGCAAAAGGAACTGAGACAGATGCAAGATGCATGGTACGGTGCCAACGGTGAGGAAATCCAAAGCTACGCCGACCAGAATGACAGCAAGCGCTTCTATGAATCATTGAAAATGGTTTATGGACCCAAGTGTGCTACCTTGCTCCCACTGTTGAGTTCAGATGGCAGCCAGCTCCTCATAAACTGGAAGCAGGTTCTAGATAGATGGGTTGAACACTTTGAAGGCATTCTGAACAGACCATCCGTTATAAACGATGAGGCCATTGACCAACTACCTCAAATAGATATCAATGAGAATCTCGCGCGTCCTATAACGGAAGAGGAAGTGAAAGGAGCAATCCACCGCACGTCAAGCGGGAAAGCTCCAGGATCGGACGGTATTCCAACAGAAGTGTTTAAATGTGGGGGACACGCTCTCATTCGGGAATTGACTGAACTATTCCAGAGTATATGGGACACGGAGCAAATCCCTCAGCGACTGAAGAATGCCAGCATCGTCCGCATTTATAAAGGTAAAGGTAGTCGTCACGCATGCGACAATTACCGAGGCAAGGATGCTATGTATTGCCTGGAAAATAATGGCACGCGTGTTGTTGAACCGTCTGCAGCAGCATCTTGAGAGAGAGGTCTTCTCCCTGAAAGTCAATGTGGCTTTCTTGCTGGA